GACATAATGACCAAAACCAATCGAGCTTTCGTGATGGTTTTCGAATGTGATCAAACTCTTATCGGATACCCTTGATCTAAATTCAAACTCTACCTAATAGAGGCTATTAATACTCCTCTTGGCCGAGCAAGAAAGAAAGGAGGGATGTGCAAAAATTATTTCAAAGAAAAAAAAAAAACATACACACGAGCTCTCTCTCCTTCAGCACACAGTTTCACAAAATCAAGAAGTACATATTCGTCAACAGTTGGATGGCACTCAAATTTTCGGACTTGTGGATCAAAACTCGAGAGCTCAATGCGCGGTCTCGCGAAAATGGAATCGAGCATCAAAGATCCAGAGATCTCCTTGCGATGTTCATAGTACCTGACATTGCATGTTCTCGCCTCTTGCCGTTCCTCACCGGTTACCACCACCATGAATCGTCCTTGTGACCCCTTTGCTATCATTCGTCTATGAAAGCCGATAAGTCCAACTAGGTAATTTCCTAATTTGTTTGTTGAATTGAATATTCAAATAGCCTAACTTGATTTTATTTGTTTCTAACATTGGTTTGGATTAATTTTTTTAGGCATTCTCGAATAGGAATTTTTTTTGTTAAATTATGCATAAAAATCGAGAATTTGAGCTTTAAGATGCAATATCGGATTCTCGATTACTTTGTTTCCTATTTTGCGTTGTGGAGGATACTTGCATTATATGGGCTTGTTATATTGTATGTCTTTAATTTAAAAATTCTTCCTATTTGAAAATACAAAAAAGTTTGCGTTGCATGTTAGAATACATTAGTTTCCTAGTCTAGAATTGAATATCTAGGAGCCATGTAGTATTTTAGGAAATTACCTAATTTAGAATAGGATTTAATTTAAATGATTTCCTAGTTTGAATTAGGTAATCACATATTTTAGGTGGTTTCCTATTTTAACTTTAAAAAATTCACAAAAAAATAAGATGCATGTTTCACGTAAATTAGTTTGTTTCATGAATTCCATGTCATGCATTGCATTTAGTCCTCACACGTTTAAGGGCCATTGCCATTTCTTCGTTGCCAAATCATCATTGTTGAGATGTCATCACGTCATGTCTTCGTTGCCATGTTATCATTGTTGCCATGTCATCATTGCATCAACCTATTTCCATTTCATAATTGCCACATCATCAAATTTTCATGTCATAATTCACTTTTCATTTAGTGATTACATGTTTAGATTCATATAGATTAGATTGCAAGTCATGCTAGATTAGTTCATAATTTTTGGTCGTCATTAAAGTTAGGACATATCACATGTCATTAGCTAAACAGTTCGTGCATGTTAAACTTAGATTAAAATTGCATATGGTTTAGTTTTCATCAACAAGAGAAACCCAAAAAAAGAATTAATTAGAATTGCATAATCATTTAAAAGTCATGCTTAGGCTATGCATGCATTTTTAATTGACATATTGCAGAACAATTATTGAAATTAATAGGGCTTTTGCGTGACTAAGGTATTTAGATCTTTCCCTTATTCTTAGCAATTTATTTATTGCTTTGGTTTATTGAGCGTTACATTATTGATTGCGTACCCGCATAATCACTCTTATATGTTAGTGGCTTAGGCTTAAAATTAACCAACATTGCTTGCAAATTATTTTTGAAAAATAAAGGGAAAAAGTATCGAAAATACGTTAGATTAACCCAGCACAATCCAGTCCCCAATTCTATTGAATCTCTAGTTCGTAGAAGTGAAATGTTCTCACATTTTACTTAGGTGTCTAATTAACCCTAACTGATTAATGGCGGCTCCAAAAGATAAGAAAATTGCATGTGAAATCAAGTACAAAATTACGATTGATAGGGCTTGGAGAGTCCGTACTAAACGGGAGCAATTGCCTCATGAGAGGAAATTGCATTCCCATTTAGTTGTCCATTGGCTTTTCCTTGGGTGATTCACCTTTGAGAAGGTCGCAACAGCTTTTATTTATTTAATCTACAAGACAATCGTTTGTGAATAATAAGTTGTTGAATAACAGATTCATCAATTATAGAAAAAAGGGAAAATGACACTATAAGTGCCATAACTTTCGTATGATGCTCACTTTGGTACAAAAACTTTTTTCGGATCACTTAAGTGCCACTTTTGAAAAGCGATTACTTAGGGCGCGAATGGTAACCATTCTGCTTCAAAAATCAAATTCTTGCCAGAAAATGATTTCCGGAATTCTTGCCAAAAATTGATTTTTGGAAGAGAAATCTGTTTGATAAAACATGACTAATTCTGCTCCAGAAATTGATTTCTGGAACAAAAATCTATTTTTATTTTTTAATTTTTTTGGGCACCTAAAAAAAATAAATTTCACTCAAAGTGGGCCCCCAAAGGTATTCTAAGTCATTTTGTGAAGTTTTGAAATTTTTTATTTTTTGATTTTTTTGGGCACATCAAAAAAATTAAATTTCACTCAAAGTTGGTGCCCAAAGGTATTCTAAGCCATTTTGTGAAGTTTTGAAATTTTTGATTTATTGATTTTTTTGGGCACCCCAAAAAAATTAAATTTCACTCAAAGTGGGTGCCCAAAGGTATTCTAAGTCATTTTGTGAAGTTTTGAAATTTTTGATTTTTTGATATTTTTGGGCACCTCAAAAAAATTAAATTTCACTCAAAGTGGGTGCCCAAAGGTATTCTAAGCCGTTCTGTGAAGTTTTTAAATTTTTGTTTTTTTATATTTTTTGAAAAAAATTCACCAAATTTCCTATTTTCCCGAAATCTGACTTTTTTTTTCTGGAAATTTTTATGAATTTTTTTGGAATTTTTCAATTTTTATGCATTTTCAGAAAAAAAAAAATTAGTGAGAAAAGGAGAGAAAATAGGGAGAATGCATTATGGAAGAGAGAAGCTACAAAAAGTAGCTTCTCTTTTTCTTGCTCAAAACTCATTCTGGAATCAATAATGCATTCTGAAATCAAGAATGCATTCTGGAATCAAGTATTTTTAACAAACGCATTTTTATTCCAGAATGCAAAAATTGCTCCAGAATGCATTCCGGAAATTTTTTAACTAACGCATTTCTGTTTCGGAATGCATTCTGGAGCAGAATTTCTACTCCAGAATGGATACCATGCGCGCCCTTAAGTGCCATCTCCGATTTAGAATGCTAGAAATCCAACGTGTCAATCTTAGCATATGTGCCCTATTCAACATCGTTTAGCTTGGTTTGCCCAATTTAAGACCCTAATTCAGCCAAATCGACTGAATCCCCTCTTCTTCAACCTAATTCAATACTTGGCAATTTGGGCTAAACTTTCGAGGCGAATTTTGCAATGGAGAGTAGGAGCATGACAAGCGACTCAATTTCATGTTTCAAGAATGGATGAGTGAAGGCTTGGACGAGAATTGCAAGCTCTTGAAGAGCGCGAACAAAAGCTTAAAAAACAGGGCCTCCAGGTTCCTCTTCTCTGCCATTCACTCTAGACGTAAATGCAGCTTCTATAGCCGTCGTTGAAATATGAGAAGAGTGACTTCTTGAGTGATGGAGACGACGAGACGAAAAATAGAGCCTCTCGGTCATAGCTCTCCATCGACAACAACAATGGTTGCCGACTATCTTAGAGGCCCACCAGAGGTAGTGTCTGAGCTGAAAGACGGCTGAGTTCTGAGAAGTGGTCTCGCGGCTATGATGCACAAAAGGAGAAGATGGTGGCGACGAGAAAGATGGATGGTCAATTGGAACGATGTCATTTGGTTAAAAAGAAGAGAGAGAGAGAGAGAGAGAGAGAGAGAGAGAGAGAGAGAGAGAGAGAGAGAGAGAGAGAGAGTCCGAAGTTGGCTTTTCTTTTTATCAAAAAGCGACGTATTTGTATACAATTAATTAAAAATAGCCAAGTTGGAATTAAAAAAGCCAAATAGAACTTTTGACTTGAATTTGTCATAGGAGGCACTTAAGTAATTGTTTTTTCTCCAAGTGATCAAGTGAAAAGTTTTGACACTAAAAAGAGCATTGCACGAAAGTTATGACACTTCTATTGTCATTTCCCCTAGATTTGACTCGACAACGAAATACCTTTCACCAAAAGTCATTTTTCGATTTTTTATAAGAGGAGATGGGTTCTGTAATGACTGTGGACAAGAACTATCACAGGAACACAAGGGAATCGATAAACGTGCTATAACGGAATTTAACAACATTAAAGAACACAAAACTCTGTCGAAATTTAATCGACGAAGAGCATATCAGGATAAATATACAACGCCGAAATTTAATCAATGATAATGATCGGAGAGTTACAACTATAGTTACAACTAACATATTCATCGAAATTTAATTGATGATGAGATATTTGAAAACTATAACTACGATACAAGAATTGAAAGGAAATTGAAAGATAATGAGATTTGTTTGTTGGTGTAGGGTCTTACAAAGAGTACGATGAGACTATTTAAAGCCTACGATCGATAATTATAAAGAGACGTTACAAACAGTTACCGAAAAAGAAATAACGTCTTGCGGTTATAAGAAGTTACTTTATCCACTAACTCCTATTATTTAGAACCCTTAACTATAAAAAGTTACAACAATCCTAAATAGCAGTAATAAAAATAACTAACTAGTAATTATCCTCATATCGATTACTTGCTGTTGATATTGATGACTTCGTCGATCAACTTCAAGGTTCTTGTAAATAACTTTCCCGTTGTGTGCTATCGATGACTTCAATGGTGAGTTGTCAATTCTTTTCAAGTTACCGATAATTCTATTTATAAATGATCATATTCTGCTCTCATCGACTAAGTCTATCACTTGTCAATAATAATCAAAAGTTAGTCATTTTTTTATGTAAACTTTTTTCCGACACTCTCCAAACACATGAATTGCAGGATGCAAATATCACTACATCAAACGACAAAGTAGAGGCAACAATACATCTACAGAAACAGATAGATAACATTGCAGGATGAAATTGACCCAAGTTGCACCAAATACTTTTACCCCTCATTTAGACAGTCAACACAGATCCAGTTCTCTCAAGAACAAACTTTTGTCATGTGAGAGTCCTTGTCGTTACTTTCTTGGTTAAGAAAAGGATAGTTTGTGTATCCAACAACAGGGTCATGAGTATAAAACATCTCTCGGACATACTCATTTAATGGGGCATTGATCTTGAACCTATATACTAAGTTAGGATTAGAAATGAAAATTTGACCGTACGATATCAAATCCACATCACCATCGGCTACGACCGTCATTCCTAGCTCTCGAGTGAAACCTCCAGTTGACATAAATGTACCTTGATAAGCTCTTCTTAGAGCTCGCATTAACTTGGCTTCTTCATTTTCGGTACCAATTTGTTCAGGAGATGGCATAAATCGGGGTTGAGTTACATGGAGATAAGCGAGTTCCGTTCCCATATGAGCCTAGAATGTGTTCAGTTGTTTGATCACTACGAGTCCTAGGTTGAGTGGATTAGAATCCATGGCATCGACAAAATTGATCACAGGTAAAATTCTAACTACCACTTGATCACTACCAACAGCTGCAACTACCGCTTGGACAATTTCCATCAAGAATCTGCACCTATTTTCAATTGAACCACCATATTCATCTGTTCTATCGTTGATTCCATCCTTCAGAAATTGATCAATGAGATATCCATGTGCTGCATGGAGCTCAATCCCATCGAAACCTAGCATTTTTCCAACATTGATGTCAAATGAACGCCATGTTACCAACTTATAAAATGTTAGAACATTATGATTCCCACAAATCCATATAGGTCAAGACCACACAAAATACTTTGATAATGGACTAGGCAATGCCTAATAGGTACCCCATTAAACAGGTGGATTCGGTCGGGTAAAAAATGGTCTGACTCAAATTTACCCATTTAACCCGTTTTGACCCATTTTCACGTAATACAAATATAGTGACCCATATCCAACCCATACCCAACCTGACTCATATTACTTAAACACTTCCATAATTAACTCAATCTTGAAAAACTCATACCCAAACTGAGGCTCGTGCAATATCAAGTAAGGGCCAGAGAGAGTGAAAAAAGAGTTACAGAGGTGGGTTTGGTGTAAGTAAGTTGTGAACCCATTTAATACCTGTATTATTTTGAGCATTACTATTCTAAACATATATATAACCCATTTACTTAATATAACTAACTCATATAACAACTTAGCTATCAAATATGGGTCAATAAATGGGTTTTTATGACACATTTTGACATGTCAACTAATAGGCTCATGGTCACGATCAAATTGGTTCGGAGCTATGTAGATCTATCAATGTGATCATGACAACGTGTCGAGTGCACTTCGGCTTTAGGGTGGCTAACATTAATAAGCTCCGTTTGTTCGCGGAAAATGAATGATTTGGAAATCATTTTCCTAAAAATGATCGCTTATATCACTTATAAAAATGAATAAACGAAAAAAGTTTCATTGTCCACAAAAATATTTAGACATAGATTGCTGTCGATAATGAAAATATTTTTCATTAATTAATTATTTCAAGTACTACGAGCAAATATTTTTAGGAAAACGTTTTCCAAATCATTCATTTTCTGCCAAACAAATAGATTCTAAGTGTGATCTCACATAACTTGACTACGTGGTCATAATGTGCCTTACATTCATATAGTCCCCTACATCCAAATATTTAAAACTCTTGGGTTGGACATTTCCCACAATAGAATCTCAAGAATCCACATGTTTGTTGAGTAATATATTAAACTTTAACCACGAGAAGAATTCTTTTTTTGTCTTTAAAGTGACGGGATTTTCACTTCGACTGTCTAAGTCAACTTTCTTGTAACCATTTTACTCTGTTCGATGTAATTCTCTATGAATCCTTGTCGTTCCACTTAAACGAGAAAGATTACATAAGATGTAAATTTTGAATACCATGTGTCATCAAATTAGAATAAGTGAATTACGACAAGAAATCTCGTAGCCTAACCTGCTCGGATGGAGTTGATTGCTGCCTGACGAAACTGCTCGACAACATTCGGAATTTCACATGTTTCCAAGGCTCGAGGTTTGGAGAAATTGTCTTGGGTTCCATCAGACATGAGTATTTTCCAGTTCTCCGATATGGACCGGTTGGTTGACGAAATTGGCGCACCCTCACCTGGCTGATAAATTAGAAATAAATTATGATTAGGCAATAATATAACTCTAATTCCCAAGATGCCAACATAGAAAAAAGGATCAATTGACGGAGAAATTTAGTTAATAGAGAAGAATCAAAGGTATTACCTTTATGGGATGCCCGACCGGCGTCCCACAATTGACAGAAAATTAGACCACCCTTGGCGTGAACAGCACCCACCACTTTCTTCCATGCTTAGATTTGTTCTTCGGTGTAAATTCCAGGAACATGTGGAAGCCTAAATCCAATGTATTTTTTAGACTAAACCAAAATTATAAACCGAGTCTAAGGAGTAATATAGAGTTAATTATAGATTTTTCACTTCAAGAAAATATAGTTTGTTCATGTAAGTAATTAGTGAATCAATTAGAACTTAAACCGAAACTGGGTTTGAACCAAACCGACCCAACCAACCTGTACATCTTTATTTGGCTCTATTCCAAACTCTTGCAATAATCTGATTTAGTCTCAAATTTTCTCACAGAAAACTACAGGACGTTCTCAGATCCACTTGAATGTCAAGCCATATAGAGAAGGAGAAAATTATAAGTGAGCGTCCCATGCAATGTCATTAGTGTATAAATACATAGTAAAATAACCGACTACAATCTGAAATTTAACTGAGAAAAAAAAGTATAAGCATGAAAAGTACCCCGCTCCCCGGTGAGTGATGATTGTGGCTTCAGTGATGAGAAGACGTCCCTCCGTTGACCGCTGTCCGCAGTACTCGGCGAGCGCCGGCAGTGGCACTCCATTCAAGGCTTGGCATCTCGTTAGAGGCGCGAGCACCACCGTTCGCTGCCATCCCAAACATGACTCGGTTTCGTCTCATGCGACTCATTAAGAAATGATAATGGAAAGCAAGAGCAACTAGTATCAGATGTAGAGTACCAATAAACACCTGTGTGAGAGGTTGAATCTGCCCATCATGCATTGACCGAAGAGGTCTGTCATTGCTATCCTTGGTTCGGGAAAAACAGATGAAGAGACCGACAAATTTTAGAGAATCGCGTTTACGGAAGCCAGAAGATGCGTTGATGATGGGTAGAGATGACTCTATTCATATAGGCATGGAAGATCCTCGTCCTTTTGGAAGGTACAATGATTGACATCGACGCAATTAAATAAGTTTCTTAAAAAATAAATGATGGGGAAATTTCAAAAGAATCCCTGAAGTGAGATAATTTTTTCGAAATGTCATTCAAATTGGGATTTATCTTAAAGTGCCCCTGAATTAATCACTTCGTTTCAATTGACACCCTATTTGACCGGCGGCACAAATCTTTGCCGGACAACAATCACATGCGTGTCATGTGTCATATTTCGCACCATGGATAAGGACCATAGGGACTGGCACTGCTTGCAATGACAAAATACTATAATTACAATGCAATTCACGTCCATCGATTTGCATAGAAGGAGAGAATGTTGAGCAAATCCTTCCAAACAAGCTAAGCAACACCCAAAAAGATACTTTTCTCGTATTATCATTACCATCAGCCTCACATTCCACCACATGCGACTGCCTTCTCGACATGTTTTTGCAACAAGTTTCAATCGCCTTCTGTCTGGACAAAGGAAGTGCTGTAATTGAGTTTAGTTTATTTGGGAAATTTGAGTATCGGGGTTTGGTTTAATCGGGAAATTTGGGATTTTTCGTCAACTTTGGACACATGTGATGCGGATGCACTCAAATCAGATATTTTTGGGACAAAATGCCCCCCATCTATGGCGCAAGACACGACACGTGACACGCACATAGTCATCATCTGGCAAAGATTTGTGGCGCCGGAATGGAGGGTCAATTGAGATGAAGCCACCAACTTCACATGGTATTCTGAGCTAAACCTCATTTTCGGAGTATGCTAAGATAAATGCCCCCACTTTAGGGGTTTTTTGAAATTTTCTCACAAATGAGTGCATTTGGTTGAAGTAAATAAAAATGGGATTGGTGTTCATGAAAGACTTTCTTTAATGTCCGTTTAATACTCATCCGACAAAGACTCCAGACCCTTAGTCTTTCTTTATCATTCTTAATCAGTCATGCCGCTCCTGACACTTTGATGTCCCCGCATTTTTCGTCAGGACGAATTATTTATATTTAACTCTTTTCTTAAAAAGCTGCCTAACCAAATTTAACTTAAAAAGCTGCTTAATCAATCTAACTTTTTTAAACATATAAGATACTTGTTTGGCTGTCCTTAGCCCTCTTCATCTAAATCTCATCTCCGCCATGTGCGTTAGCTAACTAACAATTGAAGTTTACCTTCATATTCATTTCTCACCTAGCATTAACCACTTATATTATTGCTTAAAATAAAACTCAGTGAAAGATTCCAAATCGGGGCCATCGTCAGCCGGCTCGAGAGGCATTGGCATATGTTCTACTTGTATAGATCATGACATTGCCGTACTTGTAAATGTATGCGGCAATTATGGATTCCCTTTTAGATCTTCTCGTGATCGTGTCAGTAACCCAAATGTTACTCCATCATCTTTCAAGGTTCCTTTTTTATGTAAAAGTTAGTGTCCGAGTCATGTAATGTACGAGGCACGAGAAGTTCGAATTGGCATTGTAGGTACTATGATGGATCTTTGGGTCGTCTCATATGGCAAGGGACAATTCCCCAGATTGTTTAACAGAAGTTCGAAATTACAACTATTTGCTTTTGAGACAGGTATGCGCTTATTGTTCAGCATTGTAGAAAGATTATTTGTCAACAAAATATTAATTAGCCATTTGTGTTAAGAACAATTGTGGGTGTTGAAAGTGACATTTTCGTCATCTTAGAAGGATCTTACCTTTGTTCTCTTTTAGCCTTTCTTTTATACTAAAAGCAAAAGCTCAAGCTATGTAAACTTATCCCAATTCCAATTTTAACCGAATTGAATATAGAGTGCTTCTTTTTTTAAAATATGATTCACAGTTCTCTTTCCTTTGTCCCATGTGGAATAATCAAGTCAATCATCAGAAATATGTAACGAGCTTACATAGCAAACTAAAAGGGAATGAATGAAGATGTACAAAAAAGTATTAAGCAATGGAAATTATTTTTTTTGTTCTAAAACTATCTTATAATGCCTACAACTTAAACCGGCTTTATCGGTTAATTCAAAAATATTCGAAGCATTATTTGATATATAAAAAGCTAATATTTGTAATTAGCTGCGCAACTCGTGGACAGTAGACTAGTAAACAATAACTTATGCAGTAAACATGGACATTCTCTTTAGCACGTTTGGAGATGCACAACGTATCTATGTTGTTTTAAGTTGAAAAACACTAATAAAGGTCGGGGAAAAGAAAATAAAAACATGGAGCTCAAAAACTTGTTTTGGGTCTTCTCGATTTCACATTATACTCGGAGGTATTGAATTTTAGGGTTGACTAAGTAAAGATGCATCCTGGGTTTCATGTTTCTGGTTTCTGTGCATCTTTCTTTTCCATATCGCCTAATATGGTTAGTGCACCTATCTTGCCACCTCTTTTGGTGAACGGTCTCCCGTGACCGATGGCAACCAAGTTGTTCATGAACAAGCGGCTCTGGTGAAGTAGTTGGTTTAACAGAATGAATTTAAGTTATAATCCACTTAGCACTATTCACCTTACTGGTAATTATCTGGTCTAACAGAATGAATTTAAGTTATGATCCACTTATCACTATTAACCATCTCTAAGGATGTACTTGTGCTTAAACCAACTACGTCACCAGAATAACTAGTTCATGAACATCTTCATGGTTTCCTTTCTATCAAGCGAAACCCCATTAAATGATGGAAGCCACTCATTCCGGTTCATCAATGCACGTTGCTAGGGGCAATGGAATAAGCACACATCATATGCAAAAATAACAAACGGAAAAATGGAACATGAGAAATTCAAAATGACCAGGTCGAATGGAGCTCAATCTGAGATGACGCTCACTTTGAACGGTTCAAAAAGCTACAGTCCAATCAACGTTGAAGGCGCAAACACCAATGCAAATGCAGAGAGCGATACATGTGACAAGGAGAGAGGCTTGGAGATAGTCGCCGTCGCCATCTCCGTCATCGACACCGAGGCTCCCATGGGACGAGTCTTCACACGAACTCACAATTGACGAAGAGGAGAACTCCAACTCACGATAGGCATTGAACTACAACTCTGTGAACTCTCCAAATCACAATGGGCGTTGAACTCCAACTCCTGAGAGGACCCAATCGCAATATGCATTGGCTTGATTGGGGCTTAGGGTTCAGAGGGGAGACGAGTGTTCTTTTGTTTCATAGGGAGAGATGACGTCCACTTGTGGAAGAGGCTTGATATGATGCCGTTTTTGAATTAGTTAATGATCCAAAACGGTGTCGTTTTGCACATGTGGCCCTTTTCACTTGAGCTATTTGCCACGTAAGAGAGAGAAATGAATAAAATAAGCCGTGTTAGCATTTTCCGTTAGTCAAATTGGATGAGACTAAACGAGGGACTTGATTGCTCCAACTTGCCAAGTCTTAGGACCCAATTGCACTTTTTGCAAGTTTTAGGATTCAATTGCACTTTTATAATAACTTTTAGGACTTCCAGTACACTTATTCCAAAACAAAATGAGTGCCATGATTGGAGGCACGACCAGCGTGCCAAAGTTGACAGAAAATTATGCCGCCTTTGGAGTGAACAGCATCCACCACCTTCTTCCATGCTTCGACTTGCTCTTCAGTGTAAATCCCAGGAGTACCTGGGAACCTGGTTTAACAACAGCATATTTCTTAACGTTAGTGATCCTCCTATGATCCAAAACGGGGTATATATTACTTGTTGTCGAGCAATGTAGGGTATGAATAGTTTGGCATCTGCCGGGCACACTGCCTAAATTAAACGGTGTAGTTATACTTACTGTTTGGTTGTGAAGTTCTTTTATGTAGATGGACAATGATATGCCCACAATTATAATTCCTTTTTGGCTATATATAGGAAACGACTTGATCTTGGGACAAGAGGACGTACCTGTTGGCCGTGTCTGAGATGAGGGTGCCTTCAGTAATGAGAAGACCACCCTTGGCCGATCTTTGCGCGTAGTACTCCGAATGAGCCGGCAACAGAATCTCATTGATCGCTCTGCATCTTGTCATAGGCGCTAGTACTACTGTTAAGAGAATAGTTGATTTAGCAGGAATTGAGGAGAGAGAAGGGAAAGAAGGAAGAGAGGTAGGAACAGAATTGTAATTGCTTACTCTTTAGCGTAATCTAATGGCCCTTTAAATAGCCGAGTACACATATGGATATCAATTATAAATGGAAACTAATTAATGGCTATCTTTAAAGATAGAAACTAATTGATGGCTATCCTTATTAATGCTGATTACTATCCTCGTCATAAATGGAATGTGATTCTCCTTAGTCTTGTTTAGGCATGTTCTTGCGCCGTGAATATACTTGCAATCCTTGGGATGTAACATTCCTTCCCCCATAGAGAGACGACTTGTCCTCAAGTCGAATATTATCCAAGAGGTGCTCATCCTCCCAACTGGAGTCGTCGGGCGCGAGGTCCTGCCATTGAACTAACACTTGTGAGACCGGCTTAGAATCCTTCATAATAACTCGTTGACCCAAAATTGCTAGTGGCTTGTGAATGGGTTGGTGATCAACAACTGCCTCTGGGAGTGGGCGCACTCTAGTGGAGTGTGAAGCCATATACGGTTTGAGTAGTGAACAATGAAAAACTGGGTGTATGCGACTGGAAGTTGGCAAGGAAAGTCGATAAGCCACTTGTCCCACGCGTTCCTCCACAGGGAACGGACCATAGTAGCGAAGTCCAAGTTTGTGGGCTGAGTCTTTGCGAGCTGACAGCTGGCGATAAGGATGAAGACGAAGAAGCACCATGTCGCCTGGTTTGAAAGAAATATCAGTGCGGTGCTTATCTGCCTGGGCTTTCATGACCGCCTGAGCTTTGGATAAATTGGCACGTAACTGAGACAAAATTATCACGTGAGCGCAAGTCATGATCGACTGCTTCGACAGCACTGGTGCCTGCATAATAGGCCACGAGGGAGGGAGATTTTCTGCCGAATGTCACCTCGAAGGGCATCATACCCGTAGAAGCCTGGAACGTGGTGTTGTAGTGATACTCCGCCCAGCTAAGTATCTTGGACCACTTGGAGGGCTGATCATGAACAAATGAACGAAGGAACTGTTCAATGCAGCGATTGGCACGCTCCGTTTGTCCGTCCGATTGCGGGTGGTAAGCGGATGAGAAGTGCAGCTTTGTTCCCTGGAGTTTAAACAACTCCTTCCAAAAGGCACTCTGAAAAATGGGGTCACGGTCAGAAATAATGGAGTGAGGTATGCCGTGTAGCTTTCCCACTGTAGTCCAGAAAACTTGGGCCACCTTGGTGGCAGTGTAACGTGGTGGCAAAGAAGCGAGGTGGGCCCCCTTGGAAAAACGATCAACGACCACTAATATGGCCGTATACCCAGCAGATGGTGGTAAATGTGTGATGAAATCCATAGAGAGATCGGTCCATAATGAGTCGAGTGGTGCAATGGGTTGAAGTAACCCGTAGGGGTGATGGTTGGTGGGTTTGCACTTTTGGCAAACATCGCATGCTTGGACGAACTTGGCTATGTCCTTGCACATGCCGTCCCACTGAAAATGCGCAGAGATGCGTTGTAAGGTCCGTTGTATCCCAGAGTGACCACCATGTAAGCTGGAGTGATAATCTGACAAAAGGAAGGGCACAAGGGAGGAGTCCGCCGACAAGAACAAGCGGCCACGGTGACGGAGCAAACCTGATGAGTAAGACCACCCGGGCTGGGAGTCAGGTGCACGCTGTAGGTCGTCAATGATGCTCTTTGTACGCTAGTTTAGCAGCAACTCGGCACGAAGGGTGTCAAGGTCAGTATTCACGGGACGGGATAATGTCAAAAGTGCGCTCTCCTGGTTATCGTCATCATAAACCCTTGACAAGGCATTTGCCGCTGCGTTTTTCTTGCCCGGCTTGTACTCAATAGAGTAGTCAAAGCCGACCAATTTCGAGAAGAACTGTTGTTGTTCTGGTGTCTGGATGGTTTACTTAAGAAGATGGTGCAGCGGCCTATGATCTGTCCGGATAATGAAGTGAGCGCCGAGCAGATATTGACGCCACTTCTGAACAGCATACTGTATTGCGAACAACTCACACACATAAGTTGACTTGCTGCGCATGATGGGAGAAAGTTTGCGACTGTAGAAGGCTAGCGGGTGTTCAGACTGCATCAATACTGCGCCAATTCCTACGCCGCTAGCATCAGTCTCCACAACAAAGGGAATGGAAAAATTAGGTAGTGCTAATACCGGGGCATGACTCAAAGCTTCCTTGAGGGAGTTGAAGGCGTGATCGGCTTGTGCGCACCATGCGAATCCGTCCTTGGTGAGGAGGTCCGTGGGGGGGGGGGGGGGGGGTGGCTAACGTCGCGTTGTAGCGGATGAAACGACGATAATAGCCGGTCAACCCCAAGAAGCCGCGAACCTGCTTAGGCATTGTTGGGAGTGGGCAGCCTCGAACCGCTTCAAGCTTGGTAGGATCAGCGGAGACACCGTGCACTGAAACAATATGTCCAAGGAATTCGACAGTGGGTGTTGCGAAGCTGCACTTCGAGTGTTTGATTGCCAGGTGGTGGTGACGCAGAGTGGCAAATACTTGTTGGAGATGATCAAGATGAAAGGCCAAATCCTTGCTATAAACAAGAATATCGTCGAATAATATAACAACGAAACGACGAAGAAACGGTCGGAATACCTCATTAATTAACGCCTGAAAGGTGGATGGTGCGTTGGTGAGTCCAAAGGGCATTACCAGGAACTCGAAGTGGCCGTGGTGAGTCCTGAAGGCTGTTTTGTGAATGTCGGAGGGATCCATCCGGATCTGATGATATCCGGAGCGCAAATCCAATTTGGAGAAAATGACAGCGCCGTGCAATTCGTCCAATAGCTCATCAACCGTTGGAATGGGGAATCGATCTCGAATAGTGGCAGCATTAAGCTTCCTGTAATCGACGCAGAAGCACCAAGAGCCGTCCTTCTTTTTTACCAAGAGGACCGGCGAACTGAAGGCCGAGCGACTAGGGCGAATGAGTCCATCCCGGAGGAGTTTCGTGACTAGGCGTTCAATCTCATGTTTTTGGTAGTGTGGATAACGGTAAGGTCGGACATTGACCGCCTCGGTGCCCGTTTTGAGGGGAATGCGGTGGTCGACATCACGCGCCGGTGGAAGGCCGGTTGGTTGGGCAAATAGGTCGTCGTACTCCGCAAGAAGGATTTGTACTGACAACGGAATGTCAGCATCCACGTCTATTGGAGGTTGGTCTGATGAAGAGGCGGATAAGCACATGTAGCCTGCGCTTATGCCGTCAGCCGCCATGAGTTTGAAAAGGCCCGAGGATGAGACCGAGAGTGCGGGCAGAGAGGAGTCACCTTGCAGCCGCACTGGTTGGCCATGGTGCTGGAATTCCATTGTCATGTTGGCTTGGTCTGTTACGACTGGCCCCAAAGTTTCTAGCCATTGGACGCCCAAAACAATATCAGTGCCCTGTAGGTCAAGAATAAACTGGTCCATGGTAAATAAATGGGCAAAAGAACACTACAAGTGCCATAACTTGTGTACGGCGCTCACTTTGGTGCCATAAGTTTTTTTTGGGTCACTTTAATGCTAAAATTTTTGAAAAACGATCACTTAAGTGCTAAAATTTTTGAAAAACAATCACTTAAGTGCCAACTCCGGTGCCGTACATAATTTTTCGCCGGAAATCCGACATGGCATTTTTTTTATTAATTTCTGAAGCTGACATGGCTCGCCGGAGATTGGCACTTAAGTGATCGTTTTTCAAAATTTTTAGCACTTAAATGATCGTTTTTAAAAAATTTTAGCACTTAAGTGATCGTTTTTCAAAAATTTTAGCACTGAAGTGATCCAAAAAAAACTTATGACACTTAAGTGATCGTTTTTCCTCCGACTTGACACCAAAGTGATCCGAAAAAAAGTTATGGCACCAAAGTGATCTCCGTACACAAGTTATGGCACTTATAGTGTCCTTTTGCCTAAATAAATGGGTCTGAAGCAGTACGGGCACATCGCGACATATGGCCATGCATCGTAGGGTATCACCATTGCCAACCAACACTTGGAAGGGAGTGATTGGTGACAGCGGCAGGGCAAGGAACTTGGACATACGCGTAGAGAGGAAGTTATGTGTGCTTCCTCCATTAACTAGTACTTGAACCGACTGACCTCGCACTGTTCCCGTCATGTGCATGGATTTGGCCGAACGTTGGCCCAGGAGAGCATTGAGGCTGACTTCGGGTTCAGGTGGAGTAGTTTGGATGGCCTCACTTTCGATTGGCAGAGAGACGTCGTCCGAGTCGTCGAAGCCCTCCAAATATAAAAGGGTCGGACGCCCTTTACAATGATGCCCGCGGACAAATTTTTCGTCACAGTTGAAGCATAGACCTTTGTCACGTCGTACTTGCATCTCTTCTGCGGACAGATGTTTAACGGGAAGCCATGGAAGTGGTGGTTGTGCGGTTGCAGATGCGGACGGGTAGGGTGATGCGAAAGGACGCGGGGAAAACGACCGGTTGCGCGGCTCGCTGAACTGGGCCTCGTACATGCGTGCTAATGCGAAGGCATCGTGCAAGTCCACTGGGTGGTGAGCTTGGACGGCCATGCGCACCCGGAGTTGCAGGCCAGAAATAAAAAACTATGTAAGTGTGCCGGTGAGAGTCCACATACCTTGCTGGAAAGATTTTCGAAGGTGGCCTAGTAATCAAGTACGGAACCCGTTTGCGATAACTTGGCAAGGAGGGCCATTGCATCTTCGTATTCGGAGGGGCCAAAGCGATGACGGATAGCACGAGTAAATGCATCCCAATCCGGCAAAAGATTTTTGGCTGCCAATCCTTGATACCAAGTGGCGGCGGGAGCATCGAGGTGCATTGCCGCTAGCAGTAGGCGATCCTCGGGGTGAGTGATAATAGTGAAAAAAATGGCTTACATTGAAAAGCCAAACAGATGGATCACCCGAAGAGAAACACGGAAATATGAGACATGGTGTCGGGCGCTAGGTTGGCCTCTCATCCGTATGGGTGGGTTTCGGTGGGCCACTCCCGAGAATGCTGGACGTCATAGGATTGGATGAGGTGGGCGGTGGTGATTCATCCATATGGGTGTGTTTCAGCGGGCCACTCCCGAGAATGCCGAACGTCATAGGATTGGATGAGGTGGGCGGTGGTGATGGTTCTATTCGGAGGATAGCTGTGAGACGTTGGTCACGTTTATCCAGGAGAGTCATGAGGCTATCGGCAGTCAGTTGATTGGCTGTAGAGGTAATGAGATCTTGTCGTAATTGTTTGACAGCTCCAGCGGTTTCATTGGCTAGTTGTTGCACCGCTTGCAATTGGGTCTCCTGTTCTTGAGAACAAGTTGCAGGCATGGTGGAGGTGTGAGTCGACAAGAGCACCAAATTGTTAAGAGAATAGTTGATTTAGCAGGAATTGAGGAGAGAGAAGGGAAAGAAGGAAGAGAGGTAGGAACAGAATTGTAATTGCTTACTCTTTAGTGTAATCTAATGGCCCTTTAAATAGCCGAGTACACATATGGATATCAATTATAAATGGAAACTAATTAATGGCTATCTTTAAAGATAGAAACTAATTGATGGCTATCCTTATTAATGCTGATTACTATCCTCGTCATAAATGGAATGTGATTCTCCTTAGTCTTGTTTAGGCATGTTCTTGCCCCGCGAATATACTTGCAATCCTTGGGACGTAACAACTACCCTGTGACTGAGAGAGATCAAACTTGCCCATTTGGCATGGAGTGAAGAAGTTCACGGCCATTTACGTGCGTAGCTTTATGTTCTGTCGAGAATGGACAGAAAAAGTTGACACTAATATGGTGTGATTTGAGGTTGAACTCCATTGCTCATTGGTAGTTGTTGCCATTTGAAACATTGCAGTAAAATCGGCATAATTCATTTTTAGCATACCGAGGTTTGATTTTCATTTGAGTTTTAGCCCAACGTCGTCGCACGTTGGGAAAATCGAATTGCAATTTGGCCTTCTTTGACCTACTTTTTCTTCAAAAAAATAGTGTGTTAAAGGATGTTGGATGAAGGTGCACGGTGACAGAAAAGCGGCGTAATTCATTCCAAGGTTGTTTTTTCCCCCAGTGTAGTTCTTACATTTTTTTTTTTAACATAAGTGTAGTTCTTACATTAACTGTTCAACATTTCATCACCTGTTGAGATGATGATAATAATAATAATAATAATAATAATAAATTATTATTATTATTATTAATGATATTTTTCTCTTTGCTTCTCATTGAGAATAACTCTAAATGACTTTTACAGTGTGTGATTCTAATTTATCTACGAAATGATTGTTTTGTTATGGGATAAGTGTACTGGAAGTCATAAAACTTGTCACAAAAATACAATTGAGTTCTAAAACTGTCAGAAAGTGCAATCAAGTCCTAAAACTTGTCACGAAAATACAATCGGGTTCTAAAACTTTCAAAAAATGTGTTCAACGGAAGGACTTGATTTGATCAATTTGACAAATTTTGGGACGTCATTGCACTTTTTTAAAGTCTTAGGACTCAATTATACTTTCGTAACAAGTTTTAGGACTTAATTACAATTTTTAAAAATTTTAGAACTCACTTACACTTTCCTAACATGTTTTAGGACTTCAATACACTTACCCTTTTAATTATTATGATAACAAAAATTGTTAGGTGGTATTTAGAGTTCAATTTGGACAACGTCATCGACATCCCATGTAGGAAATATAAAGGGGGATAAAATTATTTGTGTTGATGCACCACAGCATCTTCACTCGAGTCCGGGTCTTGGAGCCCTGTGAACAATGAGAGTGGTGAGGAGAGGTCCGGAGGGAGACTCGGATTAACCCGCCCACGCCCAAATCAAATTGAGTTGGGAGAAGAGAGAAGGGAAGTGGGTGTGAATAAGCATGTGTCACGGTTTCAAGGTTTCCATGCACCAAGGATCATGCAATATCGAATATTACTCTTCCAAACCCTAAAGGAGCTTTCGGAACATTCCCAGGGACGGGCAATATAGTAATTGTGCGGTGTTCCAGAGAATTCTCGGCATAAATGCAGGTAGTTGGTAAATGGGAAGATGCGATATCGGCCACTCGATCGAATGTCGATCAACAGATGTAATGAGAAGGCCTCTAGTATAAGAAGGGGTGCCCTCCTCCTCATTTGTATCCATCCAACAATTAAATCAATTGAAATCACTTCTCTCCCAAAACTTCTCTCTCTAGACTTTCTCTCTCCACAATCCGGGCAAGTAAATGAGCGATCGAGAAAAGGCTTAGCTTAGGCACTCCAACAATTGAAGAAAGCCTAAGTTGCCGCACAAGTCCGATCCTAAACAACCGACCCATGACAAGTGGTATAAGAGCAAATAGAGAGAATCTGTCTAAGGAGGTCGAGGATCACATCAATTGGTCGAGAGAATGTTGAACAAAAAATAACTTGCTTTAATTGTCGTGGATCAGAGGGCTTCCGAAGAGCTGGTTGCCCAAGGAAAGACCCATGGGAAATCCAAGAAAATGGATACCTCGTCGGACGCCATTCGCGCTCAATGAAAAGCTCATGAGAATGAGAAACGCAATGTTGGAGTACATCGAAGAACTTGAGGAAGTGAAAGGGCGGATTAATGAGGTCGAAGAAACTTTCTGCCACGAATTCATAAACGTCGTGAATCGAACGATGGCCCATTTATACGAGAAGGACAAAGCCCTCAAATCATTGATCAAGGCTCTAAAACTTGAAGTCTTGGAGCTCAAAGAAGACAACCTGTAACGACCCGGTCCGACGAGGGCGGAGAGTGGTCGCCGGGGCCAGAGGGCCTAGACAAGGAGCGGCTCCTGGCAGGCTTCTAGGATGGCAAGGGGGGTATGTCTCTGTCCCACATCACTTAGGGGGGGAGTCCTGGGATTGCTTATAAGGCTTGGCCCCTAACCCTTATGTAACTCGTTTTAAAAAACCGTGAGGGTCAGTGGGCCAAAAGCGGATAATATTACACAAGAAGTGGCGCAGCGGAAGCGTGGGGGGGCCGAGGTCCTTACAAATGGTATCAGAGCCGACTCCCGACCGCGTGTAGGGCCACAGCGAGGACGCTGTGCTCGAAGGAGGGGAGAATGTAACGACCCGGTCCGACGAGGGCGGGGAGTGGTCGCCGGGGCCAGTGGGCCTAGACAAGGAGCGGCTCCTGGCAGGCTTCTAAGATGGCAAGGGGGGCATGTCTCTGTCCCACATCACTTAGGGGGGGAGTCCTGGGATTGCTTATAAGGCTTGGCCCCTAACCCTTATGTAACTCGTTTTAAAAAATCGTGAGGGTCAGTGGGCCAAAAGCGGATAATATTACACAAGGAGTGGCGCAGCGGAAGCGTGGGGGGGCCGAGGTCCTTACAAATGGTATCAGAGCCGACTCCCGACCGCGTGTAGGGCCACAGCGAGGACGCTGTGCTCGAAGGAGGGGAGAATGTAACGACCCAGTCCGACGAGGGCGGGGAGTGGTCGCCGAGGCCAGAGGGCCTGGACAAAGAGCGGCTCTTGGCAGGCTTCTAGGATGGCAAGGGGGGCATGTCTCTGTCCCACATCGCTTAGGGGGGGAGTCTTGGAATTGCTTATAAGGCTTAGCCCCTAATCCTTGTGTAACGCATTTTAAAAAACCGTGAGGATCAGTAGGCCCAAAGCGGACAATATTACACAAGGAGTGGCGCAGCGGAAGCGTGGTGGGGCCGAGGTCCTTACAAAGGACCTCGGCCCCACCACGCTTCCGCTGCGCCACTCCTTGTGTAATATTGTCCGCTTTTGGCCCACTGACCCTCACGATTTTAAAACGCATTGTCTTGGGTAGAGGCACTCTCTGGCCCTTCCCCTCAAGGCTTTGTTCTCATCATGCGCAGTGGAAGTGTGGTGGGGCCGAGGTCCTTACAAATGGTATCAGAGTCGACTCCCGACCGCGTGTGGGGCCACAGCGAGGACGCTGTGCTAGAAGGAGTGGAGAATGTAACGACCCGGTCCGACGAGGGCGGGGAGTGGTCGTCGGGGCCAGAGAGCATAGACAAGGAGCGGCTCCTGGCAGGCTTCTAGGATGGCAAGGGGGGGCATGTCTCTGTCCCACATCGCTTAGGGGGGAGTTCTGGGATTGCTTATAAGGCTTGGCCCCTAACCCTTGTGTAACGCGTTTCACATGGGCTTGCTTCCGCTGCGTATGATGAGAACAAAACCTTGAGGGGAAGGGCCAGAGAGCGCCCCAAAAAGGACAATATTGGGCTTGGGGGAGGAAGGGCCAGAGAGCGCCTATACCCAAGACAACGCGTTTTAAAACCGTGAGGGTCAATGGGCCCAAAGCGGATAATATTACACAAGGAGTGGCGCAGCGGAAGCGTGGTGGGGCCAAGGTCCTTACATTAACATTCAAATCAGCCATATAATCATCAAATCCAGCCACCAACAAATCCTCAATTCAGCATCTACCATAACCCCTAAAATAACCCCTAAATTACCCTAACAACCCCTAAACACTATCCATTGGTAACCTACTAACCTAATCAAGGTTTAGGGAGTTACTTACCACTAATTTAAGCTAAGAACCAAGCTAAAACCGGCAGTACCAGTCCCGACCAAGCTAAGAGCTCCGGCGAACGGCAGCGGCCCAAATGGCGATCCTGAGAACGGCGGCTGCTCCGGGTGTGAACGGTGGCTTGGGGGCGGCTCACGGTGGTCCACGGCGGTCCAGGGTGGTGGCATGAGGTGCTGGTAGGCGGTGGACGGTGGTGGTGTGTGTCTCGGCCAAGGGAGAGGAAGAGAGAGAAAATGAAGAGAGAGAAAGAGCAAGGGAGAAGTGAGGAGAGAGAGAGAGAGGGCTGAACATATCTCTCAAAATGGAGGGCTCAGATGAGTTCTTGGTGCCCAAGCAAAAATCCAAAGGCTAGGAATGCATCTTGACAAAAGGCTTCTAGAAGGGCAATTATGTAAATAACCAAAAAGGGCAAGGGCAAAGTTGTCCAAGAGGATTTTCGGCCACTAAGGGAAAAAGACCAACATGTCCTTTCACTCAACAATTAAACTCTAGAACACACAGGGGTAAAATCGTCTTTTCCAATTTCCGAGCCAAATTTCCCCTTTTTCGCGAATTTCTGAGCAAATCGATAATAAAGCGAGCTTAACGCGGCGTCGTCCAATATAATAATTTTGATATCATTGAAAGTTCGATACCCAAGTTTGGATTCCAATTCGTGGCCAAAATCGATCAAACGCGACTTTCATGTATTTTAAACTAACGGACGGCTTTTAGGGTTTACGCGTGTCGACCCGTGGTTGATTTGATATCAATCCACTTTTAAGTTTACTCGAGCCATGGTAACTTCGGTTGTCATGTAATTACGAGGGTCAATCATTAGTTCCGAATGACACGATCGTTAGAAATTGATTTTGGAACGTTTGGAATGCATACAACGATTAAACGGAATCACCCGTGACTCAATTGCATAACATTGTTAAATTGTTCCATAATCATTCTTGGATCGGCCTATAATAGCCCAAAATATCCCCTCGTCAATTCTTATGGTCGAAGTGTTGATCCAGGTTCGAGTTCTTGGGTCGTGCGTACCGAAATCCTAACTAGTCATTCCCTAACGGTTAGTATTCTCAAGAATGGCCAATTCCGAGTTAGATATAACAGAAAGTGCATTGATGCTAATATCATTTCATAAATCCCGAAAGTGGGTCGAAATTCAAAATGTCACAGGCCGGTCGCCGGTGGTCGGTGGTCGGCGGCTGGCGACCGGCCACA